CTGTTGTTGTTATTGTTATTAATGCCATGCTTGCCGTTGCTATTGCTCTTGTTGCCATTGTTGCAGGTGCCATGGTTGCTGTTGCTGTTGCTGTTTCCATTGTTGCTGCTATTATTTGCCTAACTCCTTTCTGTCCTGTCCCTAAAAATACATAGATAAAAAACGTATAGAACGTATAGAAAATACCTAACAATCCTACATATATAAAAGATCTACACATGCAACATTCTTACTTTTAACTATTTTATTGATTTTAGAATTCTCAAACATCTGATCAGCGCCCCACACCACCCGGCCCACCACCAGGACCTCGTGGCATGACAAGTGTCCAGCCAAACTCTCAAATCCCCCCTCCCCCTACCCATTTATTCCCACCTGGACCACCCCCTAGAGGACCCCCAGGACCTCCACCCAGGATGCCTGGGGGTATGCCACCCGGACCCCCACCGGGGATGCCACCAGGCCCACCACCAGGGATGCCTCCAGGTCCACCTCCAGGAATGCCACCCAATATGGCTGCCCAGGTGATGGGTAGAGGACCAAGACCGCTGATGCAACAGCCCATGATGCCACCAGGACCACCACCAAGAATGCCAAGGCCTCCTGGTCCCCCTCCACCTCATATGATGTCAGGACAGGGGTCAGTACTATCAGCGCCTCCTTCTGTTATCCGTAAACCACCTATGGCACATCTACCTGGTGATGCTTCTTCTGGTAAGTGATAACATTTCATTTTTCCCCTCCCTCCCCTCCCCCAACCTCATAGACCTTTTCTGAGATATTGAACACTGTGCATTGTGGTCTAAATTGGGAAGCGACATCTTCTGTTTGTCATGCCTTATGTGGTGTTACTTGCACCCCAGCTAGACCACAATGCATCATGTTTATTCACAACCCATACACCTTTTTTTTAGTTAGATTGCTTTGTTTTTCTCTCCTTCTCTCTCTCTCTTTTATTTTTACATTTATTTATTTCATTTCATGTTATTAATTCTTTGTTTCTTTTCTTTCCTTTTTTTCAAAATCCTTCCTTCCTTACACCCTTCCCCCTCTCCTTTTCTCCCAATTTTCTTTTCATAGTTTAAGCTCTAGTAAAATGAAGTTCTGTTCTTCCTATTAAATGTCGTTAAACATTCCTTGTAGGAGGCATACTTAAGAAAACTCCAGGAGTGGTAATATCAGCCAAACCACAAATACGAAACACTCAAGCAGAATTAACAAAACTCGTGCCAACATCACTCAGAGTGAAACGTGAAGCCCCAAAACAAAAGCCCAAAGGAAAAGACACTCTAGAAAACATGCCTTCACAAGAACCAAGACGACCAGAACAGAATATATCAGGCAGAGCAACAAAGGACGATGCCTATGCATTATTTATGAAAGAAATGGAGGGGCTTCTGTAACCACTGGACTAAAATAGACCTTATTCGTGGTGTGACAATGTTTTCTCAATTCAGCGTGACGAACCTCCAAGGCATTCATTTTCTTTTTCTTTTTTTTCTTTTTTTACTCTTCGAAAAATTCACGAGTATCCCAAAGGATACGAAAGGAATAATGATGATATCCCGACGAGTTTCAAAACAATAGCTCTTCATTCCCCCAGAGGTTTGTCACGCTGAATTGGGAAAACATTGTCACACTACGAATAAGGTAATCTATTGGCCATTACTTTGCCATTACTAAACTCTGTACCTTTGCTGTTTGTTGTGCACATTTCAGATCACGTGATGCCACTTCTGGGAGCTGATCTTTTCACGTGTAATTTTTCATGCGTATTTTAACATGTTCGTCATAAAAGTACAATAGGACATTTGCATTATAGCGTTGTTTACTACCACTTCCAGAATCCTTTAATACTTTCTTTTGTTCAGTGCATTAACACCAATTGTCATATTACTATACTCGTGAGGAAATACAAAGCTGAATAAGAAAGAAAAATTCGCCAAGCATTTTGGTGGTGGGAGTTAAATGGCTTATTCTCAAGGAAAAATTCATGTGATCGGAAATGGTCAAATTACATACAAAGATTAAGAGGGCTACGTTTATTGACGCCTACTACACATTAGCATTGCAAATCCATTCCGAATCTTTATATGGGGTGGCGATTTTTTGTTTCGCACAAAAACATAGGTAACACGTACTGCACAAGCTCGTAAAGTTACCGACACACTCCCTGGCAATGGTAGTCAAATGAAACAACCAAACGACCTAGAGGATACGAAAGCTTTCTCTGGTATCAAATTGTGGAAGAAACTTTACCGCTGATTTTATGAGCATGCGCAGTATGTTTTACAGATATTAACAAAGCTTATCGGTGAGATCCGGGATGCTTACCATTTACCCGGAAAACGGTGGCGTGTACCATTTGTCGACAGTCGAAATTTTCCCGCTCTTTTCTTAACATTGGCAAACGAATTTCCAATCGGATGTATTGATTGAAGTGGTAAGCGCCCCAGAATTGTGTTTTTCTATTGGTTGAGAATGGATGACGTAAAGTAGGTAGATATGGCCTGGTATTTCGTAGCTCTTGTCTTGCTCCAAACGTTTTGTCGAACGTATTTCATATCAATGTATTACTTGTTATTAATAAACGAATGCAGTCAAGTTGAATGTGAAACTCGAAATGTACACCTTAATTTTACAACTAAAAAGCTATATTCTTATGAAGCTAACTTTAGAAATTTATTTACGACTGAAGTTATTCATTTATTTCATTAGCTTCATGAGGGCAGCGACAGTGGGCCCTGTAGTGTTAGAACGGGTGCTTGTCCGAGAAGACTTGAAGGTCTAAACATTTACAAATGTGCTATTACAAATGCAGCTTCTTCTAAAACTAAACTTCTTAAAACTAAATTGGCTAATAACTTACATTAAAATGACAAATCACTAACTGAATAATAAGCTAGTTTTAACAATATTCATAATTCTGATTCTACTAAAAGTCGTGTTTGTTAATAGCGGAGCTCCCTCGCGGGCCGAAGGCCCGCGCGAGCGGAGCACCATACTTAACAAAAAATGGTAAACCATCGAGTTGATTTTTCATGGCTTGGCTGACGTCACTTACGTCCGTCCGTCCGTCCGTCCGTGTACACAACACAGGAATCCCGCTTGATGTCAAAGCAAAACTCACAAATGCGGCTCTCAAATGCACAGAAAAAAACAATCGCTTTAGGACAACTTATTGACCAAAAACAATTAAAAAAAAGCTTTCATGTAGTCAAAGATGGATCAAGAAGTGTTCTTCAAGAATTCAGGTGTGTGTTTTTTAGCAAACAACCGTATATTATAATATTTTTGACAACCATTTTTCTCGACGAATCGGACAAATCAAATACTTTCTCTCAAAACTTTATATATTTCTATAGATAAGCTTAATTTATTTTAATGCTGGAGGAAAAATAACACGGAGAGCATATTACGACAACAAATATTCGTCCTTTATTTAGCTTTGTAAATCTTTAACAATTCGGTTGTTTTTAACCAACTATCGTATGTCTTTCGTTCAAGAAAAATGCAGCTTTGTTCGCCTCCTGTCGCGGGAACCCATCGGCAAAACAAAGAAGACTTTCATTTAATAGTTTTATATCTTTCTACTGATAATTTATTTAATTATTGAATGAAATATAAATTTACACCAAATATTCAACTGTTTGTTAATCTGTTCGAGCAAGTATGATTATAAAAATGCGCTTAAATTTGTGTTGTTGAGCGATGTTATTGTATGAAGACCTAGACTTTCACTTTAAAAAGCTAAAAAATATTCAAAAACATTTACAAGCGCCAATTTACTGACAAAGAATTTCGTCATTTTGTATTTTGCATTGCCTTTGCATTATTTTCTATTTTTTCTCAGTTGTTCTTGTCAAGTTTAACTGAATGTAAACTTTGTCTCGTTCTGTATTTTCTGCTCACCTTAACCGAGTCTAACCAGTTTCCAAGTCTGCTTTTTAGTCTTGATTTGCCCTAAATCTCCAGATTTTCGATTTCAATGAAAGACAGCCGAGGTAGATTTCACTAAACTTGATATTGTATTGGATTATCTGTAGTTATCTTTCGTTTTTTTTTAAGTAAAAGAGATTCAAAGCCGAAAACTGCGGCCTTGGAAAACTTTGTCGAAGAATCTTCCAAGAACAAAACTAGCCCCTGGGGGTGGCGGAGAGTTGTGTACAAAATTCCTAAGTGGGAGAGTATACTCGCGCAAAGAAAACAAAGTAGTGCATTTCGATTCGATTTCACTGCATGGTTTTTATTATGGGAGAAATTATCTTCATCTCGAATAAAAATAATTGAAGATTTTTTCCCCGATCTAATTTTTACCTTTCAGTTTCATTCAAATTGTTTTCCCTGTGACTTCCGTATCGGGAGCTCCGCTTTTAGGCAGTGCCTAAATACATATATTAATAGTCCAATCTCGATTCTTTTTTTCCGCTTTGTGGTCATGGAAACGGCTGTAACCCACTGTGTGCTTTTAAATCGGGATTGCAAGCCAAATATATCTATGCAAAAATAAAATGTTAAAATTGTGGTATAGCAATTCACATATATATGTTTGTGTGTCATTTCCTCTCATTCCAAAATTCCAGAAAGGAATCTCTCTTCAGTACAACATTATTTAATCTATATTTAATATCGTTTTTCTTGTTTATTTCAATTGATTACAATCCATTGAAGAGAAAAAATAAACTAAACAAAATTTGGAAATCCGGCGTGGGCAGGAGCCTCTGTAACGCGGACAAAAAGAGAGTTTAAAATTGTTTCCAGGCAACGACGGAACTTCCTGGTTCTTTTGTCTCTGAAGTAAACAACATCTTATGACCGTACCTTCAAAACAGACATACTTTGTTCAGTTTCATTAGTTGAACTTCACTTCCGAAGAGATAACGTCTGGTTCAAGAAGTAGATTTTAAGATTTCGTGATGAGGACCCTTGCTTATTTGCTGGTTTTAAGCCTTACTCCTGTATTTCGGTTCCATCTCGCTGATGGATTCACTTTTCCTTCTATTCTGGATGACGCGAGACAAGCCATGATGAAGTTTTCAACAACAAGGTCAAACTCCTCTCGCCCTCGACCGGTAGGTGTTGATTGTTAATAAGAAATTGAACTCTATCCCAAAATTAGCTTGACTTTCATAGGTTTTTTACACATTTTGCTTTCCTTAAATGGGGGAGAGCCCAGAAGTGAAACGAAATAACAATCTATTTCAAATTGTATTATTAGGTTAATATAACGAGACACATAGATATTCCTTAATGAGGCATACTTTATGCAGCCGAGCAAAGTACGTATTTTGATCTATAGCAGTGATAAGAGTGCCAGTTAATCATTTCTCAAATCCACTGCACTGCACTGCACTGCACTGCACTGCACTCCACTCCACTCCACTCCA